ATAATATATATTTTTTAAAATAAATTAATAAAAAATATTATATATATATATATATATAATACACGTAAAGTATATATATATATAATATAACTTAATTAGCATATATATGTATTAAATAATAATAATTATTATTAAATATGATATATTATGGAATGGATTTGATGTTTTAAAATGCACAAGTTCCCAAGCAATCAACACCCCCTATTAAGGGGATGCCATTAGCACTGCCCCTATCAAAGGGGTGCCAATAGCACTCCCCTTTCTTAATTGCAAAAAAGCTTCTGTAATCACCAACGATGTTTAATGAGTAATCCATGGCTACTTTGTGATATTTTTTAAAAATATGGCTAAAAATAAAAATTCATAATTATGGAGGGCTATTTTGGTAAGGAAACCTGAAAATTATGGATATGTTATCGGCTAAATAAATGAAAAAGAAAAAGTTGAGGGGATGTAAATGTCATTTCCCAAAAAGGTGATCGAAACGCCGTCGTACATGACCTACGAATCCGGATCCAACCATAAGCAAAAATTGGAGGTCTCATCAGTCGGTCTCTTCACTACGATCAGCATCGAAATGCCGTCTGTGAAACCCTTCTCCGCCGCCGCAGGCATGCTACGATCACGATTGACCTCCACCCTCCGCCAGCGAGGAGACGCCACTAACCGGTGGACCACCCCTGGCCACCAGGAACGACCCAATGGCTACTTCCTAAACCGAACCCCTCTCCCGCCTGGCCAGTCAAGGAAGTGGGAAGATTGGGAATTACCTTGTTACGTTACCAGCTTCTTAACAATCGTCATCCTCGGCGTCGGGCTCAACGCGAAACCGGATCTAACCCTAGAGACCTGGGCGCATCAGAAAGCACTAGAACGCCTCGAGGCTCAGCAGCAGATAATTGCATCGGCCCCATCGGACGAATCCGACTGATTGTTCAATCCTCAGTCGTGTGGTAATTTTTCCTAAAATTTTATTTGTTCGGATGTTGGGGATTGAGTCAATTACTGATGACTAAATGTGAAAATTCGAAGCTATGATGTGTTCATATATGTTTTGGTTCAATGCTCTAGTTTTCTAATAATAATGTCCAGAATTCTGAATATGATCGTCTGATTGCTGGAGATTTCCGTCTTGATTTCCCCTTGACACTATAATGTTTCTTCAAAGTTCCTGCAAGCTATATTAATCCGTGAGAACGGTATTTTTGGTCGTGAATTTATCTGCTGGTTCATGTACACTGCTTTTGTGAATTTCTTAGACCTGCATTTTGTTGAATTTTGGCTGGCTATCGTGTGCAAGCTATTTTTCAGTTTCGTTTCAATAAATAATACATGCTTCTGTTGTGTAATTGTAATCTTACAGTTTGGCTAACAAGTTTCCTAGTCAATAAGATTAATGGAAGGTCTTTATAATGAACGGCAAATTGTTGTATTGTTAAAAGATGGAGATACAAAGGATCTAACTGTAAATGGTTCTTTAGGTTGTAAAGGGTCGAGGTGAAGGATCAAGCGTTACGAATATCTTTTCTTACTATATATTGGCTGCAAACATGTTTGTGTTAGGGAGTATCCGCAATGCTGAAACTAAAATCGCCACCACTTGTTCAGCTTAGTAAGTAGGCATTAGGCAAGGATAATCATGATGGGCACCTATGTTTGAATTCCATGGTCTCACAAAGAATCTTCTGCTTGGCCTTGTTACGTGGTGCCTCATGAACTATGTTGTTACAGTGGTCAGTCTGTGATTTGATATAGCGGTTATCACGATGGTAAAGCGGTCTATATAATAATTAGAATTGTATATGTATATATGTATGTATAACTTAAGATATTATATGTATTGAATAAAAATATATAATTTCAACATCAAAACATCAATTTAGAACAAGGCTTTGGTTGATAAAAAATGTTTGGGTGGTTTATAAATTAAAAATGTGAAGGCTAAACACAAGAACAAACTAAAAGTCTAAAACAATTTGAAAGTGATGAGCCACTTACAATTAAAACAATACGAAAGTCTTAGCTGATAACAATAGACTGTCCAGAAGCGTAGTCGAACTAAAAACCCATAAATTCTTCTACAGAACACAATTAAAAATAAGTTTTAATAGAACCTATCAATCAACCGAAGAATGATGAACCCACTAACAGTTATAAGAAAAAAGAACGGACTGCTCATGACTCTATGGAGAAGAGGGTCAGAGAAGTAAAAACCAAGAAAATAGTCGAGTTTTGGAGCGAGCTGGAGTGCAGGACAAATAGGAGTCAAATAGAGGTAAATAGCACCGCTATAGTGGCACCATGATTTCCCCTGCAATACCGTCGATGAACGTGCGGTGCGATTAACAGCATAGCTCCTGAAAATAAAGGAGCAATTTGATAATAATGTTTTGACACATAAATGGTATAGGTCACTGCCAATCCAGTTCAAGAAATAAAGTTTGCTTTAAAATCTGGAAAAAGTTTATATACTTTCTTTAGGGCAAATTATACGGAAAACTAAATGCAACTGAAGAGATGACTTCTACAATCATTAGTAATGTCAAATTTAGTGGGACTCTTTGGGAGAAAGACAATCGTAATATGGGCCTCTTTTTTGGACAGAGGCAGTATTGCTTACAAGAATTGAAATTCAGTATGTCACCAAACATCTAAAAAGATTGTGTGCTTTCTGGTACACATTGGATTAGCTAATGATTGTGTTATCAAGAATGTATAGAATTTAGTTGATTTATATCGGATGTCATAGAAATTCTTAGAATTGTAAATCTTGCTTAAAAGGTTAGATTAACTAAAAGGCTTGTTCAGTTTGGGACAAAACCAAAAGCCAAAAAGCTCATTTGATAGATGGAGTATTTTCTACGGTTATGAAATAGGCTAGTGATTGCAAACACAACAACAAAAACATGCATTTTATAACAAACTAGTTGCCAAAGCCTAAAAATTTGAATATTAAGAAGTTATTACAACCATACTTTGTAATCTCTCAAAAGTAATGAAATTGTGATTCGCGTGATCGTACTCGAAGCACTCTAATGATAGCAATACCACTGTAGTTATTTAAATCAAGTTAGTTTCTTATGCTGATCATGCATCTGGTGCTCTGAAATGTGAATCTTTTTTTTATCGACTAATCCCATAGGCCCTGAAGATTTCTGCCGGGAAAATGCCCAGTGGCCCTGAGGGACTTGAACTAGCCACTTATGGAGAGGCACCTGAAGGCCTACCCTCTATTGGTCAGTTGAACCTAGTCAACGGACCCTCAAGGCTTAGCCCCTAAAATTAGTTCTTATGATTGAATATTGGTGTTGTGCAAAACATTATTATATAAACACAAACGATTGTGTTTATTGAAGTTTTTTAAGTACATGGTGACCTTCTTAGAGCACATACCCCTGAATGGGGCATGAGCACCCTCCAGCTAGGGCAAGGGAGGGTGGGTTGGCTGCCGCTACTGCTCTGGTCATTATAATACATGATAACTCACCCGTATTGAAGAAACTTGTGCACTAAGCAGTTAACGCGTCGATTGTGGAAATCGCGGCGGGGACCGTGATTTGGAACTGAGGTTAGTGCGGTTGTATAGCGGTAAAAAATTAGGTTTATAAAATAAATATGAATATATATATATATATATGTGTGTGTGTGTGTGTCAGAGTGTGTGTGTGTGTGTCAGAGTGTGTGTTTAACTTAATATATTGTATGCCTATGAAAATAAATACTTAATGCACAAACAACAAACAACAAAATAATAACCAAGCTAAACTCAAATGGTTAAACAACAAAGTCTAAAACCATTAGGACTGAAACAGAAACCATCCAGAAAAGTGTGTCCAATTCTAACAATTAGGGACTGTAACAGAAAGTTAGAGACTCTACCTGATAGCAAGTGTTGGTGTTCAAAAGTAGAAGCAATCGAAGATGAACAGTAGGAATCGTTAAAAGCACAATCGAACAGGGCTGTGGAATTGAGTAGGAATCAAACAGGACTATGGAATTTTTTGGACTTTGGAACCGATGACCAAAGTTTTGGACTGTATGTGGGATGGATAACCATTGCTTTTGTGAATAGTGCAACCAAAGTCTAAATAAGCCCACAGCCCCACACAAAACAAGAGACAGACCAAAAGAAAAATGGGTAAATTGCGGCCGCTATAATGCACCACTATTTTGTGTACCACCGCTAACCGCTTGTGCAATAGTATGGTCATCTACAACGATGTAGGTAGAGTAGTCTTGGATATCATGCTGTTTTCTTATTTTCTCAACATCCACTTTCTTCCTGACAATTTATGCATTTAATTCCCTCTTCTAGCCATAGTCACTAAAAGAGCGCGCCTAGGCTCATAAGGATAAAGGTCTTGGGCTTTTTTAAAGTCGAGGTTAGGCGTATTCACGAGGCTCACCAAGGAGCTTCTCCTTGGTTGAGGTGTGCCTCAAAAAGAGAGACTAAATACCTAGTCAAACCCTAATACTAAATAAGTATTCTCATCTTCAAGATTTCTTTAAAGAAGAGTTATTAAATAAATGACATAAATCAAACCTCTAATATTAAATACCCAAGTCTTAGAACTTCAAGCATTCTTTATGAATACCTAGACCTGAAAACTTCTCCCTCACAGTTCACACTTTAAACCTTTGTTCCTTCTGCCTTTATCGAAATACAGTTGGTTGTTGCATCGGAGGATACTTACTGCATATTTGAGTTGTGTGCAACTGTGTGTTTGTATGTATATATATATATATATATATATATATATATAGATAGATAGATATAGATGATAAGATACGCCTCGGGCCTAGGCCTAGGACCCATTTGCGCCTTGAGTCTTTTAACCACTTTGCTTCTGGCATCAGAGCTAGATATTCTGTGCAAGGATACGAGTGTGGGGATATGTGGATACAGGGACAATTTTTTTAAAAAAATCATGATACTGGGTGCACATATACATATATATACATATATGTGCGTCTCTGTGTGTGCGTGTGCGTGTGCGCCAAATGTGCCTATATAGGTCAAAACTATCGAGAAATATGATCATTTGAGTTTCTTGACTTATCAAAATTTGACCGATATCTTCCCATCTTTGATGCCCAATTATATATCCCCTTGTATTTGTGGTTTGAGAATACGATCTATGCTACGCGGGGCTGGCAGACGATGTACCTTAAGAGTAAGACCCATTGAGGATTTGGTAAAGATTAGAAGCACCTTTGCGTCCCTTGCTAGACAGTCTTATCGAATTCATCCCAACAGATTCATAATCACTAGCGTTTTCCTTCGAAAGAAGGTGCTCTAAAAGGCTTTCGATGGTAGCCATTGTGGTGTGTCGTGTCTAACGTCATGTTACGTCATGGCCTATTACACGATTTTTGCAACACAATATTCAATTTTTAGTATCTTTTTACTTTTTTAGTTTTTGGTATATATAACATAATTTAAATTGTTTAATCATTAAAAAACACTAGTATATATATCATTAAGGGGTCGTTTACCAAACGCTTAACCAGGTAAGCGCTTACCAAGTCACATTCATTACCTTACCGGATGAATATGACAAGAACCAAAGATCTTTCCCGGTAAGAGCGAAGTCTTAACTGGTAAGTAAGAGCGATGACTCTTACCATAGTTAGCGTTTGCCGGGTAAATTGTTGCATACGATACCGTTTTGGTGGACTAAGACCTTATCCGGTAAGTAAGTGAGAGTGTTAAATTTTACCCGTAACCGCTTACCGGGGTAAGCGTTTGGTAAATGGCCCCTAAATCACTAATTATGAAAGTGTAAGGATTTTTTTCGGTTGGTTCATTGTACTTATTTTTATTAATTTATTATGTATCGAAATAGAAATAGTGTATTTATTTCGTTTTACAAGTGTAAGAATTTAATTGTTTATACAATCTTTCAAGGATTTAGTGCCTCAAAATATGAAAATAAGTTGGATTTTTTTTCGGACTTTTCAATGATTTCATCACATTAACTAGTTGTATAGGTTGCGTCACCATACAGTTACAAATCACTCGGTATATTACCGTCTAGATGGGTTCTTATAGATATTCACTTTCAACAGATATTTTTTCTGATCTGTTTGTTGATAACAAGACATTATTAAAATCTCTATGTAGATGGTACCAAAAGATGACTTCCTTTATTTTGAATTTACATATAACAATTCAAATACCATGTTGTTGTCATCTTTTTGCTACTACATTATCAAATTGTGACTTGTGTCCCT